AATAATTGCAGAATAATTGCTTGAAAATTCAGTCCATTTTTCTACCACTAATTTTATTCTGGTTTCAATATTACGAGCTGTTAATCGTTCTTTAGGACTTTTCTTATAATTTATTTTAGCTTTTTTCAATTGATTTATAATGTCTGTCTGAAGATTTATGAATTCCATGTTTCAAATCAAATTTTGTAGGTTGTAAATTTTTCAATCAATTTTTTCTAAGTCAATATCATTTGCTTCGAAAATTTTCTAAGTGTTTGTAATTTTTCTTACATTTTTTTGAAAATTGAGCATAGGTTCCCCGTGTGTTCAATTTCTTTTAGTCTATTCTAAGTCCACTACACTTAGAAAATTTTAGCAATTTAACACCGAAGTCCGAATTTATCCTATAATTGCACTATGTTAATAACGCAGCAATGTACTTACAATTATTTCTTCAATGTACCTAAAACAACACCATGTACTACTCTTTTTTTGTCCTTTTCTTCGCCTGCTGCAAGGTGTGACGTCGCAGTTGGTTTCTTTTTACACTCCGAAGATCGCCTCGTGGATGTTCGTGTTCCGTCGCTAACAGCGTTGTCTTCCAATTTTGTAAATGGAAGATGTATCCCTCTACGACATCCCGACGCCATGTCCCGTAGTCGCAAAAGTGACGTAGCACAGATCAACCTCAGCCTTAAGTATCCGGCTCGAAGGACCAATGTTAAATGCCGAGAACTTTCCCAACACCGTAATTGATGAATAAAACTTCTTGACGTATGGCGTATAACGATTATCTGTATTTTGAAAATTGTAAGCTATATAATGCTCTATGAGGCAAACCATACCATGATGTAATATTACAAGTGACACCATCTAGTGAAAGATATTAAATGTAAGAAAAAGAACAAACCAGAAATAATTATTTAACAAAACTATACTCACAAGAACAGACAAAATTAATAAATAATACATAAAATAAATCTACAATTTTATTTTACATATTTCCTTCAAACTATCTTCATGTCTTTAACAGTACTCTTATCAAAATAAGAGGTGACCATGTACATGGTGACCCAGGTATATTAGTATACGTTCATAAATTCAAATATATGTAAGTACATATTAGTACTTGATCCGTATTATTAGCAGAGGACAGGACGTTAATTTAATCGGAAGCAAAAGTTATATAAACCATTGCAAATTATATCACAGGACAATGGTTGAGCGGAAATAAAATTACACTAAACAATTGTGATTTTAAATTGTTTACTGTGATAACTACATATATAATTACATATAAATATATCGCAATAAAAGGCCTTTTTATTGTAAAACAGTATAATTAAAACATAACGATCGACATTTTAATACACTTAACACTAGATTACACGCGCGGCCTACTACAGTAGACCAGGGTAAGTCTTTTTGCAATAACTTTTAAGTTTAGAGCGCTAGAAGCTAGTGATTAGGTAAGCCTCGTCTGGTATATTTGGCACAACCTCAGTACCCCGTGCGAACCCAGCGCGTACGTATGCACAAGCAATTTGGCGCAAGCGTGGGCCTACTAAAGTAATCCGCGCGTGTATTGGTGTACCAAACTCAGGTATGTAACTTTTGGTGTATTATCGATTTATTACGCTATTATAATATTCTTTACTTATTAATAATATATTTATGTGTATGTATATTAAATTATTATTATTTATATATTGGCTACAATTATCTTTTACAGATTTATGTATTGGATTACATAATGAATGGTGTACAAGAGGAACGGTGGCTGTATGAGCTAGATAGTGAAGATGGAGAAGTAATTAAGAGTAAAGATGACGAAGTTCAACCAGAACCAGACTTGCAGGCCCCTTTTCGCGAGTCGGAACTTCTTGAATATGAAGAGGAAAGATTGAGTGTATCTGACGAAACATTAGGTTTAGATGACATTCCACTCCATCAACTAACAACCAGAAGGCGCGGTCCAGTTTATAAGTCAACGAACGGAACTATTTGGCACAAAGATGTTCGCGAAATGGACGGCGTAACATAAAGGATTTTTGGGATAACACTCTTGTGGGATATACAATTTCCAAACCGTACTGGTTTGCAAATTATATATTCCATGGCAATAAATAGATTCCGGTTTGTGATACGTACCATAAGCCTCGTCTCAGAAATCTCAGTAATGAAATTGCAGATATAATCTATTAAATCGTTCAAAAATATTGTAAAAAATATCGGTCCCAGTACGGAGCCTTGAGGTACACCTCTTGTTAATGTGTTTACTACAGATCTATGTTTGCTCTGTACTCCTACTTAGTTTGTTTCTACAATTTCTACAAATTGTCTCCTATTACTCAAATAATATTTTATAAGTATTAGTGATTGATACCTAATTCCATAGTATTCTAGTTTTTTATTAATATGCTGTGATCTACGGTATCAAAAGCAGAACTTAAGTCTTAGAATAGGTTCATTTAATTCTGTTAATATATCATTCACTATAGTATCAACTGTGTCAAGCGTTCCCATACACTTTTGGTAGCCCAACTGTCTTTCATTCAAAACCTAATTAAGATTTAAGCGCTTCATTAAGCGCACTTTTATTAACTTTTCAATAATCTTCGATAGTACAATAGTTCTATAGTTGTTCGGGTCTATTTTTGTATTCTTTTTATGTATAGGTACTATTTTTGCTACCTTAAACTCGTCAGGAAATATTGCTTGGCTTATGCATTTATTATAGTAATATGCCAAAGATTCACTTAACAAATTAATATTATCCTTTAGTATTTTTATTGGAATATCGTCATAAACACTCAATTTTTTATTTTCCATGCGTTTTACTACAGTCACAATTTCCTGTGAATTTGGTGGGCGTAGAACCAAAGTCTCCTTAACCGTTTGGGTATTTTGGGTGAGCTTTGCCATTGCACTAATATTGCTGACGTTGTAGTTTTTGCCATTATCAAATTTTTTTGAAATTATTTCGGCTATATCTGTTGCATTGTTGATAGTTTTTCCGTCATGATTTATGGTCATTGATTCATGTCTTTCAGAAGTTTTTTTTATTTTTATATTTTTTCACGGTTTTCCATTCTCCTTTACTAGAATAAGCACACTGACTTATATCAGACTGAACAGCAAGTGTTTTTGCTTTTTGTATAACTGTCCTATATATTTGAATATATATTTTTTACGGTATCAGAGGATAGAGTCATGGTTATGATTTTTATCAAGTATACATAGCACACGTTTCATTTTACTTGATATTTTTATACCTTTTGTAACCCATTTTAGCTTTCCAGTTTTTCTTAAATTTACCTTCATTATTTTTTTTTTCTAAAACACTCTTTGAAAATATTTATTAATTTTGCCAAAAAACTGTTAATACATAAGTCAAACCATTTTACTTTAATAATTATATTATTTTTATTATTAAACACTCGTTTTTCAATCTTTATTGCTCTTTCTTTCCAATTCTCTATCTTCCTCGATTCCACTAATAAGTGCACTATGATCCCAGCATGGCCATCTGATAGACCATTGTGATCAATATTGACTGTAAATATGTAATCCTCCGATAAGTTTGTCAATATGTTGTCTATGCATGTGTGAAAACCATTTCTTAAAAATGTAACGTCATTAACAAGATGCCTAAAATTGTAAGATTAGATTAAATTTACAAACTTAGTGTATTTATTATCAACAATTGTCACGTCCATATAAAAGTCACCACATATATACAGTGCTTACCAACACATTGTTGTAGAAAAAGTTCCAAGATTTCTATAAATTTATCAAAGTTTTTGCCATTTTGATAGCAGCAGAATACAGAAATGATCGTATCAAGTTCTTGAACTCCACAAATTTCGAAATTCTCGTCTTCACTTAATTGATTACAAGCTAAAATATTCTTTACTTTTTGCTCTCTGTCTACTAGTATTAATGTACCACCCCTTTTTTTACTTGTTCTTATATGACTTGTTGCTAATATGTATTTAGTCAAGTTAATAAAAGAAGCAGTTTTACATTCAAAACTGCTTAGTTACACATACATAATATGGTGGAATTTCTAATGAATCTAAGTGCAATCTTAGCTGATCTTTTTTAGTTTTTAGGCCACATACATATTGGTAAAAAATATTTATAGGAACACAGAATCTCCCTACCGATTTCAGATCATCTCTACATTTCTTAAATTATCTCTAATGTTTATATCTGTACTCTCTGCAGATTGTAGATTTGTGTCATACGAAAAAATGGTTCATTTGTGCCTTTATAGTAATACCGTCCAACTCTGTTAATAATAATCTTAAATTTTCGAAAACAGTTTTGAGCCCGTATTTATTTATTGCACCTGAATTTATATAATACATGTCTTGGGTGTAAGTGAGGTTTTTATTTGAATCTATCAAATATGCGGATTCAAAATAAAGATTGTCCATGGGTATGGACTGTATATCAAAAAAAAACCAGAGGTGCTCACAAGCTTTATACTTGATCTGGTTTATTAGCAAACAAAAAAAGTTACAATTCTAACTTATGGTAAATCAAATGACATCTTTATACCGCAATCTATATATCGCTCAACGCCATCTACACACAAAAAATCTTACTAATTTAAACAAGTTAACATACCGCCCCCCAAGGACATATTGACCAAATGTCCTTTATTTTACTACATATCATGACAAAACATTCACTTATTAATATATAAATAAATCTTATTTTATAACTAACATCATTTAAAAACCTAAAACCTAACATCACTTAAAAATCTAAGAACTTAAAAATCAACGTTAAATATATAGATACAACTTATAAATATTACAGTAACACACAAATTTCATTTTAAATTAAAGGTAAAATACACAATTTACACGTAGGTCTTTTAATCACAGAGGCCTTTGTAAGTAATGTGACTACTCGTGTTATATTGTCTGGGCCCGGATGTTTTTGAATCACCCTACCAAGAAGCCAACGACAGGGAGGCAGATCGTCCTCCTTTACAATAACAATATCGCCTATATTGGATTCAGCGGTTTGGTTTGTCCATTTATTTCAGGCAATGAGATAATTATTCCTGGGACCAGCGTTTCTAAAAGTTGAACCTGTTGCCATCTTTTCAAATACGTAATGTTAGATGAATCGAAATTGTAATCAGGGGCTGTTAAAATTGGCTCACTAAGTAGAAAATGACCTGGTGTTAAAGCTTCTACTGTTTCATTGTGATCATTATATCTTGAAAGTGGCCGTGAGTTTAGACAAGCTTCAATTTGACTCAGTAGCGTTGACATTTCTTCAAAAGTTAAAGTTGACTGTCCTATAATTCTTTTTAAATGATGCTTACACGACTTAATGCCAGCTTTCCAAAGTCCCCCAAAGTTAGGTGTATGTGGTGGAATAAAATGCCAACTGGTTCCGTTGTTGGCTAAAGCTTCGGCTATATCCTTGGCGATTCTAGACTGCTCAGATTTAAATAATTTCTTTGAATCCCTAGAAGCTCCCACAAAATTGGTCCCATTATCACTCCACAGTTTACTGCAGTTACCACATCGTGCGACGAATCGTTTAAAGGCTGCAAGAAAACCTTGAGTGGAGAGATCGCTGACAACTTGAAGGTGCACAGCACGAGTAACCATGCATACAAACAAGCAAATATATCCCTTGTACGCATGGTGTCCACGTCCCTTTGAGGTCCTTAGACTGATAGGGCCCGAGTAATCTACTCCACTTCGTTTGAAGGGTCTAGTAGGGGTGACTCTTATGGCAGGTAGTTGACCCATCAGTTGAGTTTTTGTTGCAGCTGCAAATCTAATACACGTTATACACTTACGATAAAAAGCCTTAACTAATTGTTTGACTCCTATTATATAATATGAGGACCTTACAAAATTCAACATTAGTTGTGGGCCTCCGTGAAGTGTTCTATAGTGAGCGTCGGCAATTATCAGGTTTGTAAGACTTGAGGACTTTGGTAATATAATAAGATGCTTTCTGTCCCAAAGGATTTCGGCGTTTTCTAACCTTCCCCCCACTCTTAATATACCTTCATCGCCCAAAAATGGGTTGATTGGTTTTAATGGACCATGAGTAATATATTCTTTTAATTTCAATTTATGAATTTATTTCTTAAATTTTTTATTTTGACAAATCCTTATGCAAGTATTCAGTGCTTGTTTCAGTTCCAGAGCGGTTAAGTTTTTTTTATTTCTATTTCCCTTTATTTTCCTTAATTCTAAAAATCGCCTACAATATGCTACAACTCTAATAAGTTTGGTTAGTGTTGACCAATTCTGCAAAATAAATTCATTTTCTTCGTTTTCATTATTAGATTCTGTTACTGTATTATATACCTGTACTTGCTCTAATGAAGTTGATATATTTTTTGGTTTTACAGGTTTCACTTTTGACTGATATAAGAAATCTGGACCACGAAACCATAACCTTGTTTGCAGAAGTTCGGATGGAGAAATACCTCTAGAGGCACAATCAGCTGGATTTTGCTTAGATTGAACATGACCCCTTTGCTGTGGCTCTATTATGCTTAAAATTTCGGACACTCTGTTTGCAATGAAAGTTTTCCATCTGCTCGGGTGATTGTTTATCCACGCTAACACTATTTCAGAGTCAGTCCAAGCAAAAAGGTTAGTTTTATCTATCTTTAGTACTTCTGCAATTTCAATTATTAATTTTGCTAGCAAGACTGCGCTACATAATTCTAGTCTCGGAACTGAGATTGTTTTGATAGGAGCGACCCTTGTCTTTGCGGTTACTAAATAAACATGTATCTTGTCTTTAGAGTCCACTATTCTGACATACACGACGGCCGCATATGCTTGTTTTGACGCGTCACAGAAGCCATGTAAGTCAATACTTTTATCAGATTTTTTAATTCCCATCCACCTAGGTACAGAACATTCAGTTAACCTGAGTAAGTCGTTTCGGTAAGTCATCCATTCATCTTTTATGTTTACTGGTACTACGTCATCCCATCCAATTCCTGCAATCCAGAGCTTATGAATAACAATTTTTGCTAATATTATGCAAGGAGCGACCCAGCCCAAGGGATCAAACAGTCTACAAATATCCGAAATAACCTTTATTTTTGTTACAGTTTCAGTCAAAGGAAGAAGTTTCACTGCGTACTGGAAAGAGTCAACGCATCGCTTCCAGGTAAGTCCCAGTGTTTTAATTATTTCGTCTTGTTTAATATTAAATGTTTCACTCCTATCATTAACCAAGTAATCCTTTTCTATTATTTTTAGCAGATCATCGCTATTGCTTGACCATTTTTGCAACTGAAAACCGCCTTTCGACAAAAGAGAATTCATTTCATTGTAAATTTTTAGACCTGTATCGACATTTTCACACCCTGTCATGAGATCATCCATGTAATAATCAGTCATGACTCTTTCAGCTGCAAGTGGGAATTCGTCACCTTCATCATGAGCTACTTGTTGCATTGCCTTTACTACTAAGTATGGAGCTGATGCCGTACCAAATGTAACTGTAAGTAATTTGTAATCCTGTATACTAGAATTAACGTCTTCTCTCCACAATAATCTTTGGAAGTCTGTGTCTTCATTAGCCACTCTTACTTGCCTATACATCTTTACGACATCCGCAACCAAACAAATGGGATGCCTTCTCCATCGCATCAAGACGTGCGTTAATTCAAATTTAAGAGGAGGTCCTATCAATAAATCGTCATTAAGGGACACTCCATTCTTTCCCTTGCATGAAGCATCGAATACTACTCGAACTCTCGTGGTGTCCTTATCATTACGCACAACGGCATGATGTGGCAAGTATACAGCCGTCTTATTTTTCAATTGGGATTGATCTACCTTTTCCATGTGTCCGAGTTCAATATATTCATTAATTACGTTTACATACTCATTTTTTAATTTTATATTTTTATTCAATTTCGCCTCCAAAGACTTAAATCGTAGCAGTGCAATATCCCTCGACTGGCCATATTTACAATCTGGATCGTCGTTCCGAAAAGGTAAACGAACTACGTATCTACCATCTGCATTTCTTATTGTAGTTTGACGAAACAGATCTTCACACCAAGATTCTTCTTTAGTGAGTATCTTTTTATTTTATTATATTTGGCTCTGCTTCCAATTCCCAAAATTTTCTTAACGCCTGATCTTCATTCATGTGAACATGCAAAATTTTAAGATGCGACGTTCCAACATCACTTGATCAAATTGCTCCTGAGAGAATCCAACCTAAACTTGTTTTTTGTGCTATAACTGTACCCCCAGGATCCCTTTTTAGCCCATCTTGTAGTATTTTAGATTAAATCTCTGCTCCCAATAGCATATCGACTTTATGAGGTATATGTTATTGTAGATCTGCTAATTTTATATTGTTTATTTCCACCCATTTTAATTCAGTTATTTTTCTTGCAGGAAGAAGAGATGTAATTGACTTTAAGACGTAAGCCTTAACTACAAACTCAACAGTCGGATCATATTTTGATTGAATTTTTATGTAAACAATTGATTTTGATATTAAACTATTATCACCACCAACTCCGGAAATAATTCCCTTGGTAGGTTGTTTCTTTAAACCTAAATATTGCACTATCCTTTCAGTTACGAAAGAAGCTTGAGAGCCCTGATCTAGTAGCGCCCGAATTGTGAACTCAGCTCCGTTTTTAAAAACTGTTGTGACCAGAGCTGTAGCTAACAACACTTGGCTAGCGTGCCCTTTAGAAAAACAGGCAACCATATCATCTTGTTCTTCAACTGCATCATATGATAGTTCTGCATTAGTATCATCATGCGCTTGAACCTCTGTATGATGAACAGACTCATCTGTGTTTTTTGGATGCAACAAAGAATGATGTCTACGTTTGAAAATTCTACATATTATTGCATTGGGGCAATACCTGGCAGAGTGATTCTGGCCCAAGCAATTAAAACACAAATTATTGTCCTGAACAAACTTACACCGAGTGTCAACATCTTGTTTCGAAAATTGTTTACAAAAGCCTAATTTATGTTCTTCCTTGCAAAATTGACACGATATAATAGTATTCATAACATGTAAAGATTTACTTCTATTAAAATTATTTTTAGTTACCTTGTGCGTTGAATCAGGTTCTAAAAACTCAAAAGCTCTATATCGACCCGTCAAGAATTCTTTAAATTGTGCAAATGTAGGCAACTTATCAGACTCGACATTGCTAGTGACATTTATCTCCCAATCTTTTCTAGTATTAGTATCTAATTGTAGTGTAAGGATATGAATTATAATTATGTCCCACGAACTTATGTCAATGCCCAAGTTTGATAAGGCACCCAAACAATCAGAGGTAGTATCCATCAACTCCTTAAGCGCTTCAGATGACTCGGTTTGAATATTCTTTTGACTAAATAATCTTTTTAATATACAATGTGACAAATACTTTTTGTTGTTGTACCGTGTTTCAAGCTGAGACCAACATTTGTCATAATTGCATTCCCATATAGGAATATGCCTCAGCAATTGCTCGGCTTCCCCCGTCAGATAACTTTTTAAATAATGAAGTTTGTGTACTTTAGCAAGCAAAATATTTTTGTCAATTAAAGAAATAAATAGATCTCTAAATGTCGGCCATTCAGTGTACTTTCCCGAAAAGGTAGGTACAACTATCTTAGGTAATTTAATACCCATATTGCTAATCCCTAACTCACTTGAAATTGACTTGTTAGATTGTTGATGGATATCGCCTTCTAAACTAGATAAAACAGTCTTTAATTCGCATTTTAAGTCTAAATAAACAGTCTCGGTATTATCGTACACATCATTTCTAACATATGAAGTGGAGTTTAAATCTTTAGAATCATCTTTTATAATAAGAATATGTGTAGATGTAAACTGAGACCACAATTCTTGTATATTCTTCAATCTAGTTTCAACATATTGTTCAGTAATTCTATCTTTGGGCGATTTCTTAAAGTTACTTTTCGCCTTAGATAATCTATTATAAATATCTTCTTGAATCTTAATAAGTGCTTGTAAAGAAGACATCTTTGATAAAAGAAGTAACAATAATTTAGAAAATAACAAAAGTTCAGAGGGTAAATTAGAATAATTTTCTCACATTTCTATTAACTGTTTTTACAACTCATATCCAACTGAAATAAATTACAAGTCCGAAATCATTCTAAAATTTTTACAAGTATTTTAACAACTTAAATCTGAGAAAAAAAATCGGGCATAGGTTCCCCGTCTTAACCAAAATTCACTTAAAATTAACTAAGTCTACAATTTACATTCGAATTATTTTTCTAAGTTATAAAGTCTTTATAATCACTAGTAATTTTTCTATGTTTAATTTTTCTTATAAATAAGGTTCAGATTTCGACAAAATAAATGAAATACTTTAAAAGTTTAAATTTAATCTTGCTTGGTATATAAGGTTCACTTTTCCACAATAATGAAGAATATAATTGTCATGACAACCAGATAAACAACGATGTCAAAACATGTCAAAATTTGGTTTTAGGCTCGTAATAGAAAAACGGCAAGATTTAAGTGAAAAATGAGATATTACTGATATAGGAAAAAAGGTAGCGCACCTGCGCGCACAAAGCCCGAAATTGCAGAGTTACGGGAAACTAAATAAAAGTTTGAATAATTTAAAATTAAAAAATTTGTACAGCCGACTTCAATATAAGTTATTTAAGAATAACTTAAAAACTATTGGTCTGACCTTGATCAAATTCATATGGGACCACACGAGAAGTACCAGCTTTCAAATAAAAAAAGAATCATCGAAATCGGT